GTGGGCCATAAATGGTGATTAAAGACCAAATGTACAGAGCGTGGGACTGAACACAACCCGTGCCTATTTCTGACCGGAAAACAAAACAGAGGTTGAAAAATCACTTTGGTCGTGTGAATCAAGAACAAATGTGGGGGGTGATTTATCTCCCCAAAAAACATGTTATTTCTGCATTAAACTTGCGATAACCCTAAACTGAAATGATTTTTATTTTGATAATAAGGTTTTCTCCTTTTTTGTGGCAACAAAACAGGTGTTAAGATGTTAAAACACCAAACTGAAACCTTTTACAAGGAATAATGTCTGCATTAACCACAATGCTTGTGGTCAGAATGCAAACAAAAAACATACTCTGATAATATATGCATTGTCCTTGAAACTGATTGGTCCACACCAGAGACAGCTTTCTTTTGAGCCTCGTCTCAAATGGTGTAAGACCAGAGAACGCCAAAAGGCGTACATCTTAACACCTGTTTTGCCAGAAAAAAGAGAAAACCCCTATTATCATATTTTGGTACTGGCAAAGGAGGTCCCATGATTTGTTTTATTTCACCAGGTCAGGCCCACTGACCTATACTAGTTTTATCAGAAGCGACCTGGCTATCACAAATGATAGCTCAACGAAGTGGCTTTTTATTGTGTGGACATTTACAGCAGCCAAAGACTCTAAACGCGTGATGTTGATTCTAATGCGGAGGGGAAAATTCGAAGTACCCGCAGAAAAATCCATGCGACCACAGGGAGAGAGCGAACATGCAAACTCCAAATAATACACAACAGGCATCGCCAGGGTCGGGCTTGAACCCAAGACCTCCTGTATACCAGGCGATGTTGTTAACATCTCGCCACCGCGTATTGACTCGGACAGGAGCACGTGGCAAGGCGTGATGATTGTCAGTGGTCGAGACTGGGACACGACTACAACCACCACGACTGTCACTTTCTCCTCCTTCAGTCGCATCCCCCCCCCCACACCGACACCGTTGCCCGCACAGCACAGATATTCGGGTCACCTCAAAGCCTGCCGATTCTTTACAATATCAGCGCACCTGTGCACACCTGGGTCGTGAGTTGAGAGGAGGAGATTGGGTGTGGAGGGGTTAGATAGCTGGGGGGGGGGGTGGTTTGGTGATTTGAGTGGATGCCTGGTGATGGTGGGGAGTGTGTGTATGGGGTATAGGGGGGGGGGGGCTTGTGGCCCGTGTTGAATTGTGCGATAGTGTGAGTGCACCTGTGTTTACCTGCACGGGGCGGGCGGTCTACTCCCTCGGGCAGGTGTGCTATGAGCTGAGCAAATAAAGGGTGTGTGGATTGGGGGGGGAATTGCATGAGTCTGTGTTTGTTTGTGTCCGTGTATATGTTCGTTTCGTTGTATTTAATTTACAGCCCCTGCACGCCCTCGTCGGTCATGGAGGTTGTTTGACCATACTTCACCACGCTGGTCACTGTGGTTTTGCGGCCAGGATTGGCCTTACGTGTAACTTGCCGCTGATGTTAGCCGTTGCCGGAATTGAGCTCATGACACATTGAAAAGATTTATTCTAAAGCTTGCAATTCGGTATCGTGACCCTTAAGAATCCAAATTGATTTGTGCATCCATGCATCGTTGCGCCCCCAGTTGATTGTAGAGAATACGAATCCTGTCCTGATGCTTCCCCAAATTACAGCGCCCCACTGAGAGCCCATAGGCTGCTTGCTGTCTGTCGTCGATGATGATTGATACATCTCACTGACTTTACTTTGCTGTTTTGCAACAATTAAAGGCATTTTCAGACAGAAGTGGATCATAATAATCATACAATGACTTCGATTTTCCACCCAGGGAAAGCCTTGTTGAGTCTCACAACTCTTTTTCGGAAGGGCGCTGCGGAGATTTCGCAGTAGGGGCGATGTTGCTACGGATGTATGGTTGTATGTCGAACTTCTTTCGCACCGTACGTAACCAACCGTGCAAATCGGATGTGCGGGGGAAGGCCGACAAACTAAACACAAAAAGCGGTCCTAAACAAATGAGTTTTCAATCTTGATGATTTGAAAGTACATAGCTCCAGTGGCTTCCTAATATAGGAAGGAAGAACGTTCCAGACGGCCGCAGAAGCGCATCTGAAAGGGCCGCAATGCGGTGACCGTCTTTGTTCGATGGCCAGCAGCCAAAAGCCGCTGCTGTGAGGAAAACTGGAGTTCGCGTGATGATTTATGCTCCTTGACGAGATCAGCGAGGTGATTGTGGTTTATTCCACTTGAAGAAATGTGTGGGTAATATTAACTCTTGCGAATGATGTCAGGGGATTGTTAACGTCCACTGTAAAACAGAAGGCACTTGCTTTTTTCCGGTTAATACAACCCCAGTATTAATTAGGGTGGCCGTTGATTAGAACCGTGAATCAGTTGCAACAAGCGACGAAGGCGCTCCCAATTAGGCCTCGCCACCGCTATGAAACTATAAACTATAAATATTAGTTTTATTTTACCGCTAAGGGCCACTGAGCTATACACAGCTCTTTTTCAGAAGCGGCCTCGCCACAAATGATAGCTCAACGAAGTGGCTTATCATCAACGTGAACATTTATTTATACTCTAAACGCATGTAGATTCTAAACGTGGAGGGGAAGATCCGGACGAGCTGGAGAAACATCCACACGACCAAGGGGAGAGAGAACATTAAAACTCCAAATATTCAGGCGTCGGGGTCGGGATCGGGATCGAACCCACACCCTCCTGTATACAAGGCGAGGTAGTTAACATCTCATAGCCACCGTGGCACCCACGGCGAGTGCTCCACCCGGCTGTGAGCCGTGAGAGAGGCTGGATGTAGAAATGAATAAGACGGATCAACGTGTGACAGCGACCTTAGCATTCCACGAAGATGTCGTAAACTTTTTATTGTCGATTTGTTTGTTACATCTTTATCTTATAAACTCGCGAAATAAAGCTACTTGCAACAATTCCTGAACAAGGGGTCATATATACGAGGGTCATGGAGAAGGTGAAACCTGCACTCTCAGTTAGAATTCTGAACGTGAATTGAAGTGAACGGAACTCGCCCTACATCCTCTCCCCCCCCCCTCGAAACGCGTTCGCTTTTGTCACGTGGGGTACTGTGATGTCTTCATGGCAGAGCCATGGAGTTGGGTTTTTTTTTAGAGCACACGCGCGCACAGCCATTTCTGGACATCTGCCTGTGTTCAGTTCATTGTCCTTTCCCACACATCTGATAAGCGCGGCTGGCCACATGCGGTGCGACATGAGTTCAATATGCAACACGCATACAACTCGTCCATTTGTTTCGCTCTTTGCATCGCTCAAACACGCGAGAGGCACGCGGACCACCCAAACTGCTTCGATATCCTCCCGTACATTTCAGCTTCCTTGGGCATTTCTCTTCGCCGGAGACCTCGTCAAAAAATGCTGCTGCTGTCCCACAGCGCAGGGTACAATCAATTATGCCCCCCATAAATTGGGCATACCCAGGCTGTGTTGCGCCGCTATGTGTACGTTGAACTTCTTTCACACCGTACGTAGCCAACCGTGCTAAAAATAAAAGGCGGTCGGGCGTGGTGCGGGCCTCGTGTACCGTTCCGGCCTTCATAGGTGCTCGCTAGCAGCACTTGCCCCTACATCCTGTTAAGGCTATACGGGGAATCTTTGTCTTTGTTGTGTTGAACTTCTTTCGCACCGTACGTAGCCCACCGCGCAGAGTTGCCGGATTGTGCCACCCCACAAAATTGCAGCAGAGGTATGCCAATGTTTTGACAAATGAACCGAGAACCATGCAAAGTGCAAGGAACCCTCGAAGGGTTCCTCATGCGAGAGCAATTTCATAGCGGTCGTGGAATAATGGGCACATGCGGGCGTTATATCGGTGAATGCATATACTGCAACACAAGTCTGGCAGTGTCATTTTAATACCATCGTTATTAACATCAACACAGCTGTTACCAACAGAGTTATTCATCTTCCTCCTACATCACATGCAAGTGGATACAAATCGTGGGTTGTCCAGGACACATATATATACACAACTGTTAACCAAGTTAGAGCCCAATTGGTGATATATTTAAAAGTTGCAATGGTTTTTTGTACATTACCAGTCACGAATATAAAAAAAAAAAACTAAAATTAACACCAGGGCACATTCGTCTATACTCTTTGGTTCTTTCGGTAAAGTCACGTAGGTGAAAATAATAATAATATAAAATGTGAAAACAACTAAATTAAATCACGACGTTTCGGGCGCAACACAAGCGTCCGTCATCAGATGGGGACAAGCACAGCGAAAAACAGTTGCTGTGGTTGTCCACACCCGAAGAAGGACGTTTGTGTTGCGCCCGAAACGTCGTGATTTAATTGAGTTGTTTTCACTTTTTATTTTATTATTATTTTCATCTACGTGACTTTGCCGAAAGAACCAAAGAGTATGGTTCCTTGCAGTCACGAAAACTTCACATTGGGTCTACTCTCGACTCGAATGACGCCCGAAGGACCGTTAGAAGAGATTTAAACGAGGAAGCCGCGGATGGCTCGCGAGTTCAGAGCACTGAGTCGGCATCGGTTCGAATCCAGGGATTTTCACGTCCGTGGTCTCAGCCCAAGCCACCAACGGCTCGGACACAGAGAAAAAGAAAACTCCTGATGTAAAATCCACTCCGTGAAGCGTGACCAATGATCATCAGAACCTCGAATGCATGAAATAAATAACCCTGCTTTGGTTCCGTATGTGCACATAAATATATCTATTTTTACCATATCTGTTTGCTGACTTAAACAAAAAAACCTCGCGATAGCCAGCGTATATTTATGCAAGCAAACTCTCGACTGGTTTCGACATTATGGATCTCATCAGCAGTCAGACTCGCTAAGCAAATCGTGGTTATCCAAAGCTTTATTTATTTTTGTCCAAGGAATTCAGTTTTGTTCATTGTTCACCTCGGCTCTTTCCCATCACATACAAGCACAATTATTTTAAAGTCACTTAGACAACATTGTAGAAATGTGGCCATTTGGATCGCTGATGAGTTCAAAGTGTATTGCATTCCACAGTTACCCGTGACAACAAATTTGATCTTTGACGGCTACCAACAGCAACGATGATAACTCCTTTCAGAGAGGACATATTTCGTAAAATAAAGTCATTATTCACAAATTCACATAAACATTAGGCATTTAAAACGGCGTGTTTCTGTTAATATTCCTAAGGCAGTGGTGGAAATTCCACATTCTACTGACGGGGACCAGTTCATCAATGCAACACGAATCAAACATGATATGCATTTTGTGCTGCATGCTAAACCATTGCGTAATCATCATCATCATCGAATGCATTTATCCATGCAAAGCCACGCATGTGCAGCCTAGATAACTGGAAGAGATGTAATTCAATTTAAAACTGCATTTTACGATAACTGATGACTGAGAACACACGCAAGTCAGGCGCGTCGTAGCGACTGCCAAGTGAAGAACGTGAGGCTTGGGCAGTAAGCGTCGCTGGCAGGGATGGGGGACCCGTGGTCGAGACTAACGACGGAGCGGCAGTCAATGGAGGAGAAACACCACCCCGATGGAACGCCCTCCGTGCAGTTGGAGCGATGTACGGCGGCCAGATGAGTTACTGCATCGCGAGAGGGCGATCGATGGCGGTGACCCCGAGGGGAGTGGGGTGTGGGGGGGGGGTGTTCGTCATCATCCCTCGCAGCGAGAGGACGGTGACCGGCGGTAGAGATCCGACGCCTTAGCGCCTCGTTACGCACGGAAGTGCAAGGTCAGAGACAACAGAGGAACCTCGCGCCACGGAACCCGTGATCTCAGTACGAGTAGGAAGACGACGCCGACGATATTGAAAGTCCGAACGTGCGCTGGTTTCCCCAAGTGTCCATGGCGAGGGGGGGCGCAGGAACTGCTCCGTGCCCGACGGAACGGGGCTCTGCGGGGGCCCAGCCCAGACCCGGCTCCTGGGAGGTTTGAAGAAAGGAGCCTCCCCCGATCTCCACGTGTCCCGCTCCCGTCCAGAACTCGTGGCCCGTCCAAGCTGGAGAGGCTTCGTGCGGCTGCTCGTGCGTGTCGAACAACGGATGGCACTTCGCGTCCAAGCCAAACCAGCTGGCCAGATAGCAGGGCTCGGCTGCTCTACTGCCACCGCTGCCCGTCGTGGAGGAGGTGATGGTGGATGGGGAGGAGGAGGCGGCGCCGGTGGTGGTGCTGATGTTGACGGGGCTGGCGGTGACCTCAGGATAATAACGGGGCGACTCGGAGAGCATCAGCAGACGCTGGAGAGCGCGGATGTATTCGGCGGCGGCTCGGAGTGTCTCCACCTTGCTGAGCCGAGTCGGCCCCGATGACCCGGCGCCTTCGCCCGACGACCCCGGCGAGAGCGGCCCCCCGGGGCAGGAGTCTTGCTGCGGGGTCCAACTGGGGCCCAGGGCCGCGGGGACGCGGTCTCGCAGCGCGGCGAAGCCTCTGTTCACCAGCGCCACGCGGTTGCGTTCTCGTGCGTTGCGGCGCGCCGTGCCGGGTCTCCTGCTGCTGCTGCTGCTGCTGATGCCGCCCGTGGCTCCAGCCGAGGTCCCCTTCCCTGGTCGCTCGCGCGCCGGGAGCAGTAGCCGGGCCCCCGCACCGCGACGCGGGGTCCCCACTTCTTGACGAAACGCAAGGCGCCTCTCGCAGCTTCGCAAAAGGCCACAACCGTCGTCATCGTCGTCATCGCCGCCACCGTCGCCACGATCATCGTCACCATCATCATCATCTTCTGCGGCGCCGGTGTCTTCTCGGGTCGCGGGCGGAGGTCGACGGCGAGTAGCGGTGGTGCAGCGAGGGATTTGCGGGCTGGTTTGGGGGGCCTCCCATGGATGGGGGCGCGTCCCGGGTGCAGCCGTCCCAGGCGACATCGCCGTCCCGCGAGAGTTGTCGTGCGCGCTTGGCGCGCTGGTCTGTAGCATCATCATCATCGTCGTCGTCTTAGTCGTCGCAGTCGCTTGCGCGCGCGTGCCTGCGTGCTTCTCTCTTGACGGTGGAAGTCGCGTCCGGGCTATTTGGTAGCAAAGTCGCGAGGTAGACGCTGTCCGGGACTATTCTTCCTCGCTGCAAGCGCACGGGTTTGACTCCCAGCAGCGACGGCAGACGCGGCCTTTTGAGAGGTGGGGACGCGCGGTCGAGGGGGTAGTAGAGACTCGTGGTGGGTGGGGGGTGCGGAGAGGAATTACCTGCAGGGTCAAGGGTTCTGCGGTTGTAAATAAACTTCAGGCAGCGGGTGTCGATATTTGAGTGCGCAGGCGGTGCAACTGCGTGGCCCATGCCAACCGTGGCTGAGCCACGGTTATCTTCCCCAGCCAGGCAGCGATGTACAACATCTTTATTATTTCAGAATCGGAATCTTCATTGTCCTGAAGAAATCCGATGGGCTATGAAACGCTTTTATTTGTTTCAAAGATGCCCGGTACAACGCTCGTTCCATCACACTCAGTGGTGTAGCTATCGAGTGCGCAGGCAGTGCAACTGCGTCGGGGCTTACGGGGTGCCGGTCGAGGTGGCCCAAGCCAGTGCCCACCTGGGCCCACTTCACCGGCCTGCACCGACCAGCGTGGTGAAGTATGGTCCAGCAACCTCCAGGACTAACACGGTGTGTTCAGGACTTCATCCCGCAGTGGATTGACAATCAAATCTGAATACATTGCATTGTATGAATCGTCTGTGTGAATTAAAGCTTCAACTTTCTTTAACGCTATTAAAAGTAATAACCGTAAAATAATATTACGCATTCATATTTAATTGGTTAAAAGTATACACTGTGCATACCGCACCTCCGATTAGCACGGTTGGCTACGTACGGTGCGAAAGAAGTTCAACATGCAACATTAAACTAAGGACTTCTTCTGATGCTATTCGCCACTGACGTCAGCCACGGTCGGGACTTGAACTCAGAGAGGGTCGGGGTTCGCACGTTAGCGCGCAAACCACTGCGCCACCGCTCCACCGCAGGGGTTGAAAAACAACCAGCCCACACATTTTTCCCAAATGCAAACACATAACAGATTTATAGGCTGTTGGGCAACTTTCTGCAGGATGTATGTTGGGGTCAAGATTGCCACACGAGGTGCGCTGTGGAGGCCTTTGTCTCGCCGGTGCTGCGGTGCACTGACTGCCAATCACCGGAGAATCGGGAGGAAATCCATGTGGAACAGGGAGCGAACATACAAACTCCGCTCACTCTCACACTCTGTAGAACACAGGGAGAGAACATGCAAACTCCACTCACTCTCAGTCACTATCTGTAGAACAGGGAGAGATCATACAAATTCCACTCACTCACACACTCTGTAGAACACAGGGAGAGAACATACAAACTCCACTCACTCTCACACTCTGGAGAACAGGGAGAGAAAATACAAACTCCACTCACTCTCACACTCTGTAGAACAGGGAGAGAACATACAAACTCCACTCACTCTCACACTCTGCAGAACAGGGAGAGAGCATACAAACTCCACTCACTCTCACACTCTGCAGAACAGGGAGAGAACATACAAACTCCACTCACTCTCACACTCTGTAGAACAGGGAGAGAGCATACAAACTCCACTCACTCTCACACTCTGCAGAACAGGGAGAGAACATACAAACTCCACCCACTCTGTAGAACAGGGAGAGATCATACAAACTCCACTCACTCTCACACTCTGCAGAACAGGGAGAGAACATACAAACTGCACTCACTCTCACATTCTGCAGAACAGGGAGAGAACATACAAACTCCACTCACTCTCACATTCTGCAGAACAGGGAGAGAACATACAAACTCCACTCACTCTCACACTCTGCAGAAGAGGGAGAGAATATACAAACTCCACTCACTCTCACATTCTGCAGAACAGGGAGAGAACATGCAAACTCCACTCACTCTCTGTAAAATATGGAGATAACATAAAACTCCACTCACACTCTCACACTCTGTAGAACATGGAGAGAACATGCAAACTACACTCACTCTCACACTCTGCGGAACAGGGAGAGAACATACAAACTCCACTCACTCTGTAGAACAGGGAGAGAACATAGCAACTACACTCACTCACGCTCTCACACTCTGTAGAACACAGGGAGAGAACATAAAATTCAACTCACTCTCACACTCTGCAGAACACAGGGAGAGAACATACCAACTCACCCAGACAGGCGTCCGAGTCGGGAATTGAACCATTGGCAGAGTTTGACTTCAATATTTAGATGGGCAGGCGTTCGCTTTGTCCCTCACATTAAGAATCACGGGTGCATATAATTTCATATTTTTTTCCTTAATTGTAAACTCCTGAAAATAAATTAATACAGGCGTCCAGTTTGGAGGAGCGTTGCTTCCCCTCCCTCGTGCCCCCCTCCCCTAAATTCCGCCCATGACATTGAACCCGTGCCCCTCTTGCTGAAAGGCCGCACGGTTTCCACTGCGCCACGCTAATTGGGTGGAGCTCAGCTCGGAGTGAATTTGCCCAGGAGGAGGCGGCACGGACCCAGTCGCCGGATTAAACTCGTGCGGGACCTGTAGCATATGTTATAAAGGAGCCCTAAATAAAAAAAAACGTAAATATTAAAACACAACATTTTCACTTGCATAGTAAAATAATTGTATTTCTTTTCATTTGCTATACAGCCAGATATTACGACAACTCGCTAACCTTACACACCCAGTCGTTCATAAAAGTTGAAGGCAGTATAGTACTATAGTAATAGAGCAAGTGCAGAATCACTGAACCTGAATCGATAGCTTACACGCATTTAGCGCGGGGCCCTTGAGAGTGCGGGGCCCGTAGCACGTGTAGCTACTTTTGCTACGAGGATCATCCGGCACTGCACGGGCCGCTCCACACGGCTGTGGAAAGCAGCCCCGAGCCGTGCTGGTGAGGACACCTTCACAGGTGGTGGTTCGTGATCCCCGCGCCGGACATTTCACTTTGTCGGCCCCACGCGAGCGTGGGGGGGGGGGGGTATCGGTAGCGTTCCCCCACTCGCTCTGCGTGAGGCCAATAACGGCGAATAATGTGATAGCCATTTGCAATGAGCGGGCTAATCAATACGTTCACTCGTATGAGCCGTATAATAAATACATTTGCACCTCAACTGCGAAATATGGACGGCACCACCCGGTGGACTCGATCGGCGCGCTCATTCATTCATTTCCAGCATTCTGCAGGAAACTTTTTGCTTTTACGGGTCCTAACTTTCTGGCAACGGCACACCGATATAATTCATACGAGCGGTGACCAGTTAACCGATTGCCGTTTGGCAAAGCTTACTTTTTTTTAATAGGGCACCTATACGTTCAATCTTGATTTGAAGCTTTCGTGACTGCAGGAATCCATACTCTTTGGTTCTTTCGGTCGCAACACAAGCGTCCGTCATCAGGTGGGAAGCATGATGACAGGACGCTTGTGTTGCGCCCGAAACGTCGTGATTTATTTTATTTTATACCTACGTGACTTTACCGAAAGAACCAAAGAGTATACACCTATACGTTATGCTGTATACATATGACATTAAATGTTCTGCATCACCTTTGATCTACCACTAGATCGAGCACAACGCTTGGACGCTATCGCGTCTAATAACAATCATCCATGGGCCAGAGCAGGGCAGGAATCGGTGCCCTACCAAAGATGGAAAAAAAAACTTGATCAGGAACCGATTTATATCCACGGCCAATCAGGGTGAATTACTCGATAACCATGCTCACTTCAAGTGATTGTCACAAGAAAGCCACTGTCGTTGGCCACGTAAAGACATTGGAACCGGTAAAGTTACTCCACCTCAGGCGCTACCAACAAGTGAATTGTCAGGTCAAGGCTCATTGCCAGCAGAAAGAGTTCGGGATTAGCGCACCTCCGTTATCCTAACCGCGCATTGCGCTAATCAGGAAAACGCACCTCCGATGAGCACGGTTGGCTACGTACGGTGCGAAAGAAGTTCAACATACATATATACACACAAAATGTGGTTGAGAAACGTTGACTACCACGATACTCCAAATGCCGCGCGCGAGTTTGAGTTCACTGAGCTCCCAGTGCCCTCTTGTGGGCACGGGCGACTCGTCAAGACACTCCCGATCGGGTTGACGGTGGAAAAAAATGAAAAATGCCGTGCACACAGGGGGAGGCTTTATCTGTAACGACGGAAGCGGTGGCATCGTGGTTAGTACATTGCGCTATTAACGTCAAGTTCGATTCCCGGCAGGGCTATTATCGGTACCAGGTGATATCTAAACCGGGCCCGGGTTCACCTTGCACCATCCCAGTGGGTACACACACATCTATATAAAATGGCAACATTTCACAGCTGAGATTTCATGGAGACAGTGGCAACATACCAAGCGTAAGGAGGAGTCAAACAAGGAGATACACATTCTGAACAAAGTCACTCGTGGCAACATGATACCGCGTAACACCTCTTACACACGGCGAATCACGGGAACGTGGAGTCGAGTCAATGATATTAATGTATGGAAAGAGAAAGATGAGAAGAGAGAAGATACGTGCACAGCCAGGACGAGGGGACTGGAACGGGGAAATTATTGCGGGACGGAAATCCCTAAGGCGCTCATTCATTGTAATGATTTACTCTTTCAACCAAGCAAGGCCCACGTAGCTACATAACTCTTTCGCAGAAGCGACCTGCTCACAACTAAAAGCTTAAATTAAGAGGCTCATCGTGTGGAAATGTTTAGTCGCCAAACACTCTAAACGCATGATTCTAAATGTGGAGGTAAAAGTCGGAGGACCAGGAGAAACAATCCACGTGGCCACGGGGAGAACATGCAAACTCCAAGTATACAGCAGGCGTCAGGGTGAGGATGGAACCCACAACAACCTGTATACCAGGCGAGGTAATTAACATCTCGCCACCGTGGCGCCCCAGACAAAGAGGGCACGGCTCAAGATGAGCAGCAGAAAGAAACGAGGAGGAGCACCGGGCTGGAAGGGGAGGAGGGGGAGAAGGTATAACCGGGCCAAGATGCCGGGGGATGAGAGGTGATGCTGAGGGGGGGAGGAAAGAGCGAGATTGAGAAAGAAGGAAGGAGCGGGCAGAAATTAGCTGCACGGAGCAGCGTCAGTTTTCGCAGTGGGCGGAGAGAGGGGAGGGACTCACAGTGGGGGGTGGCCACGCGTGAGTCACGTGACTTACGGGAGGCTGAGCCGATTTAGAGATTTACTCTTAACTGGATTGGAGAAACACAGGCATGAATACAGACGGTGGTAGTGTAAACCAGCTCAGATTTTCTGATTACGTAAATATGTTTAAAATTACGGATATACATTCACCTGGATACTGTAATCTCTTGAGATGGAACTTCTTTTTTGCAAGGGGGGGGGGGGTGGTCCAGATATATTAAGCTCATGAAAATAAACTACAGGACAATGCGAGAAGGTCTGATGAAGACTGCAGTGTTGGAGATAAATACGAGAAAAAAGCCACACATATCCCCAAGCGAAGAGAGTTGTTATTGGAGGGACGCAACAGAAATGAAAGCAACAGAAACATCGGACAATTATTGATACGCTCACATGGATCAATTGTGAATTCAGAACCTTGTACTCGCACACACGTTTACAGACTAAGGTATAGAGAGTACTGGTACTGCATCAGCAGATCTTGCTGCGTGCCTTCGTTTAGTTTTTTTGTGAATTCCCTCAAGTGACCTCCTCTGTAGCTGGCAGTCTGTGAGTAACGGCCACGAATTTCGGCTGAAACTGAGAAAAATAAATCACGGCCGATTCCATCAAAGGCGACGCATCTCCCGGGCAATAGCAGCAGCATCAGCAGCAGCACGCTCTGTCAGTCGGACCTGACAATTTTCTGGAGCGGAAATGCTTTTAAAGAATTAATTAATTAATAAACCCCACACAATCACCACGCTGCAATTAACGGGCAAATGTCCACGCCACTGTGGCTGGCGCGTGCTCTTAGTGCCAGCTGCTCACGCGAGCGCGTGCACAGACGGAATTTCAGCATTGACGACATATGCTCATGAGCCCCCGACAAACGAAAGCGAAAAAACCGGTCCAGAGTTTGCGTGTTTATGAAGCTGACGATGCTGGTTTAACACAAGTCCAATAAATGCATATGCTAAACTCGAATTTATTTTCTATGCGGAGGTACAGCAACGGATGATTTAATCGCAACGTCTCCACGGTGCAGGAGCGAGATGGATTGTCAATCCGCAAAGACCGTGAGAGATTACTACGGCTCAGGGAGGGCTTCAGCCAGCAGTGGATAGACCATGGCCAACGATGCTCAACCGAAGATGATTTTGTTTAATCATCGCTGATGCGTAATGCAATGGGGAGGTGGTGGATTGAAACCCGTGAGGTACCCAGTTTAAGCCGCTGGGTGGTCAGAGAGGCAAGGACAATGTAGAAAACTTGCCACATTATTTCAAACTGCCGCGCCTGGAGATCTAACGGACGAGAGACCTGCGGATTGCAAGTCCAGTAGTGCTGACCATCGGGTCACGATACATGGGGCCCAATGGAAGTCAACCGAGACATGGCCAGGCCACGTCAACCCAATACGTGCACACACAGAGATGCCTATGAAAGTGCACGCACTCTCGCGGTGACTCGTCACTGTGAGTGCGCCAGATCTCGTCGAACCTCGCAAGCTAAGCAGGGTATTTTTGGCAGCCTGCTCAGCGCTTAGATGGGTGTCCACTCGAGCTTGACGGGTGTTGTAGGTGTGCCGATTAGGCAAAGTGTGGACAGGAGTATGGTAGTGATGAGTGTCATCATCATCAGCAGCAGCAGCTATTTTATATCCACTGCTGGATGGAGGCATCAGCAAGCCGTCGACATCACTCGCGGTCCAGCGATCGTCTTACCGCTGCACGCGAGCTGAGCTCACGAAGCGCCGCTCCCTCGTGTGGCGCCACGTGCATCGTTTTTATTCTCCTCCGAATTCTTCGTTTTTCTAATCACACGAAGCCAAACACTCATTGATACATTCGGCCCAGCATCCCGATATAAGCAAGACCCCCCCCCCCCCCCTGACAAAGAGGTTTGAGACTCAGCGAAGCTTTCCTGGAAAATGTACCGGCCGAAGACGTGAGGATTGACCAATCACACACCAGGTATTTTATCTTGCGTGCAAGTCGACCTCGAAAGAGCGCGTCGAGCCGCAGCGTCTTCAATAAACCGATTGAGCCATTGATGCTGGCGAGCTGTGGAGTGTGCAGGCGGTTGAACTGCACCGGGACCCACAGGCAGGCCGAATGGGGCTAGGGCATCGGTCTACGAAGGAGGGGGACAGGGGAGGGATGGAATCTTGACACGAGGCCCAATTTCAATCCTTGCCCCAGGGCCCATACCAACCATGCTCCGCCATTAACTTCAGGTATAAGGGGGACCCACGTCGCACATGGAGCCAATTGTCACCATCGGTGACGATGGTCACCTGACCGGCATCTGAGGTTCAGAACAAGTTCATTTGCTTGCGCGTGACCAGGTGTACCTGGGCCGCTGGGATCGCTAACCGCTCGCCCACTAACAAGCACACACAAACAAACACACAAACGCACCCCGCGTGCGAGGACCATACAGACGATGTTGGTCAAAGTGTTGTTAGCTAGGGCCTATTAAGGCCGGTGTGGTACGCGAGGAGGTGATGTGACCACTAACAACACCAACCCGGGACTCCTTCGTCTCCCACCGCGGCTGATGTGCACGCACGGCACACACGCGCATGCACTGCACCCACACCTGTCCATCCCTGCGCATGGCATAGACAACACTTTACGCTCTACCAACTTCCATTTGCCAAGCGCTTGCTAATGGCAATCGAGCAATTAGGCTAAAAGCAGTGGACACCACTCGCGTTTGGCTTCGAGTTGAGAATGTTCCGTGGCACGCGGCGAGCGCGTGCGGCTAACGGCTGATCCGTGATCGTAATTCTGACAACGACTGCAAAAAACATTTTTTTGAGCGAAAAAAAAAAGTTGGGTGGACGCTCCGAACGGGGTATATAAGCAGGTGCGAAGATCTCCATCATCCGCACAACTTTGTCAGTCGACCAGGACAGAAGTTCACCTCCCAACAGCTTCCGTCAGCACCCACCGGCCTCTCCGTCTCTACGCAGGTAAGGTGACAGGTAACCCCACCGCGTGGTCGCTCAGCCACACTCGCTCTGGTGCAAGCCTCACCTGGGTCGTGTGCCCGATGGCAGTGTCTTTGTCTCGAACGCCCTCAAATCCTCTCCGATCTTGAGCTCTCTTCTTCGTTTCGCTCTCGTCGCAAGGTTCTTCAAGTCACCGAGCAGCATTTGCCGAATCCGTATCGTTTTCACTTTCTTGCATTGTTCCTAAGTGGGGGTTTATCTCCTTCTCGTCTGCTCTAGAACTGTCTCATTACTCGTTCTCTCCAACTTCATGTCTCCATCGGACGCCACAATCCACAACTGTGACACAGGTCTTCATATGTCTCCCTTTCCGGGAGTGCAACCTCCGGCACTTTACACTCGGCTCTTCTTAAACCATCTGTTGAAACTCTCTGCCGCGGTGGCGAGGGGCATCACGATGTCGAGGAGATGTTAACTACCTTGCCTGGTGTACAGGAGGTCGTGGGTTCGATGCCGACCCTGACTATGCCTGCTGTATAGGTGTATGGGTGTTTGGGTCTTTGTAGGTCTATGGGTCTCTGTGGGTTTATGGGTCTGTATGAGATGTTAACTGCCTCGCCTGGTATACAGAAGGTCGTGGGTTGGATCCCGAGCCTGCTGTATAATTGGAGTTTGCACGTTCTCCCCGTAGCCACATGGATTTTTCTATGGGTCCTCTGGATAATCCCTCCATATTAATGCGGCTGCCATAAATTTCCACGCGACAATCCACTTCGTTGAGCTATCATTTGTGGTCAGGTCGCTTCTGAAAAAAAGAGCTATAAAGCTCAGTGGGTCTTCCCTGGTAAAATAACAAAAACGTTTATAGTTTCATTCGTCTTTGCCAGCAGCATCCTTCCGAAATGCCGCTTTTACTTCCCCCATGGCGATCCTGACTCCAATCTCCGTCGAGTTGCCGCGATCTGTTTCTTCAATCCACTGCTAGATGAGGTCCCTTCCCCCCCCCTTCCCCCGAGCCCGCTCATCGACACCGTTTGACCAAACGTCACTCTCTGCTTGGCGGGCCAGCCAAGTAGAGAGCCCAGGACCGGTTCTTAGACGCCACTCGCTGCACTCGCGTCGGTGTTTCCGACCGCGTCAAACGTTCTCCGGGCTCGTCGTACCCGGCGCGAGAGCCAAACCATCCCTTGGGGAAACGTGGTGCCGGTGCGAAAAGACCTGCTATTGTGACGTCATATACAATTCTTATTACGGCCTGTAGCATATGTTATAAAGGGGCCCTAAAGACTAAAAAAACATAAATACTAAAACGCAGATTTTTAACTTGTATAGTAAAGTAATTGTATTTTTTCATTTGCAATAGAGCCAGATAATACGACAAATCGCTAACCTTAAATACCTAGTCGTTCATACAAGTCGAAGGCGGTATAGTACTATAGTAATAGAGCAAGTGCAGAATCACTGAACCGGAATATGATAGCTTGAAAGCATTTAGCGCGGGGCCCTTGAGAGTACGGGGCCCGTAGCTACTACATATGTAGCTACTACATATGTAGCTTTTACATATGTAGCAGCTACATATGTGGCTGATGTCTGAAGGGGTCTTGGGCAACCTTTTTTTTGTTTCACCAACACGCACTGACCAACGCCCCTCCCGCCCCCCACGACCAACTCGGCGTGGGGGAAGTCTTCATGCAGCAGTGGGAATGATAAAAAAAAAGGCTGACGTACGAATGGCTCTGCATCTTTCCCCTCGGTGAAAACCCGCTCAACGCGACCGCGTGACAAACGACGTCGTGATGCTTTTATCTATTTATTCGTTGGCGATGTTGCCCTGCACGGCTCTGTTCCGACGATGCTCTTGGCGAAAGTGTAAATGTCTCGCGTTAAGGAACGGCCCGCAGAAATAGCTAACACAGAGCTACCTCCGAGATCTCCTTCCCAAGTATGCCGCTCTTTCGCACAGGAGGCGATACCGCGATCCAAAGGACGTAAAAAACCGAATCGACGTTGGGTGACGATCGGACTCGGAACCATCGACGCACTTGCACTCTGCGCGCTCGTGATGACCGAAGCTCGTGGGTTTTCCCGTTCAGGAATCAGCTTGCGCCGGACAAACCCCGGTTTAAGTCACGGGGGGCGGCTGAATCCCGCGTTCGGAATCAGAAGCTGATATTTACACTGGAGGAATCCGAAGAGCGATAAAGCTCTTTTCCACACAATGCCCAATGTATCTTTGCGGTGCCGGCTGCGAGCCACCCACATGGGCGACCTCTCTAACGCCGCAATATCTCCCCACGCCTGTCCTCTGCAGCCTCTCCACCACCACCAACCACCCACGATGTCACCACGTTCTCCGAGGGCTCCGTCGGCCATGCTCTCTCTGCTGCTGCTGCTGCCCGCACTGCTCCTGCTGCTGCTGTCGCTGATGAGTCCGGTGCCCGCCCACGCGTCGGCGCTGACGGGCGCCGGCGGTACCCATCTGTGTGGATCGCACCTGGTGGAGGCGCTCTACGTGGTGTGCGGCGACCGCGGATTCTTCTACACGCCCAGCAAGACGCGCAGGGAGCTGCCTGACGGTGCGAGACCCCCCCCCCCCCCTCCCAAAGTGCCTCTGCGCCGATTGTGTGTGTGTGTGTGTCTACCTGTGTGTGTCTACCTGTGTGCCTGTGTGTGTGTCTACCTGTGCGTCTGTGTACCTGTGTATGTGTGTGTCTCCCTGTGCGTCTGTGTGTGTGTGTCTGTTATGTGTCTACTTGTGTGGGTGTGTGTGTGTGTCTCCCTGTGCGTCTGTGTGTGTGCGCGTGTCTCTGTGTGCGCGTCTATCTGTGTAGGTTTGTCACGTAAACAGAACATGCCAATTCGTTACTAGTACAGCACTAACCGGTTGTGTGTTGGAGAGCAAAGCCACAACATTTACAATCTGATCTTGACTTAAAGTTTTCGTGACTGCAGGTGGAAAACCCGAAGACGGTTGCTTGTGCTGTGATCGAAACGTCGGGGTTTTTTGTTTATTTTTGATTAATTTTGAACCTTTATCGAAGGACCAAAAGAATATTTACAATCTGAGTACGACGTTTCGCCAGTAATTACAACAAGCTTCATCAGGCAACAGCTGTTGTAGCTTTGCTCTCCAACACACAGCCGGTGTTGCTGTACTGGTAGCGAATCGGCACGTTCTGTTTACGTTACAAAACATTACAAATTGGCCGTGTCCCGTGGTGGCGGGTTTGACGACACTTTTATACATTTACGCGATCTAACCCCCAAACAACAACAAAAAACCCCTCTATTATGGATGATTCTTGGGTCTCGAAAGCCTTACCACGTGTTAAACCGACCAACCGACCTGTTGCCTTTATTTTTTTTAACCTTGTACTCAGTGCCGAATTAAGCGAGTGCGGGGCCTGTAGCATATGTTATAAAAGGGGCGCTAAATCAATCAAACACACACATATTAAAACACGAATTTTTCACTTGCATAGTAAAGTAATTGTATTTTTTCATTTGCTATACAGCCAGATAAATACGACAAATCGCTAATCTTAAACACCCAGTCGTTCGTAAAAGTTGACGGCGGTATAGTACTATAGTAATAGAGCAAGCGCAGAATTACTGAACCGGAATTGATAGTTCTAGATTTGAAGCTTTCGTGACTGCAATGATTCATATTCTTATATTTCTTCGGTAAAGTCACGAAGGTAAAAAGTTAAGATAAAAATTAATAAAAGTAAATTACAAATAAAATAAAAATCACGGAATTGATAGCTTGAAAGCATTTAGCGCGGGGCCCATGAAAGTGCGGGGCCCGTAGCTACTACATATGTAGCTACTACATATGTTGGTAATTTTGATAGCAGGATAATCAGGAAATGCGTGCTGACCCCCCACCCACCCAACCCCCTCGTTCGCTCGCAGTCATCCGGACCGAGACCGACGCCGGCGAGCAGCAGGGGGGGGTGGTGTCGGAGGGCGAGGGCGAGCTGTGGGGAGGAGTTGCTGCTCCGGGCGCCCGAGGAGAGAGCCCGAGGACGCGACGCGGCATCGTGGAGCAGTGCTGCCACCGCAAGTGCTCCATCTACGACATGGAGAACTACTGCAACTGACCGAGAACGCCGAACGCCCGGCCACAAACCCACACCCCTAACCTCCCCCCCCCCTAACCTCCCCCCTAACCTCCCCCTCTAACTTCTTAGTACCTAACACCCCCCCACCACCCCCTTACTACCCCAAAAGCTGTGATCACCCAATAAAAGAAGATGGTTAATTGATTTCGCTCGGCTTGTTGTCACGTGTGTGTGTATGTGTGGGGAGCGGTGGTGTAGCAGTTAGCGCGTAGCGCTATGAACCCGGCGACCCAGGTTCGATTCCCGCTCACGGCCAACACCCAGTGACGATTATCTGAACCGGTCCTGGGCCTCCCCTAGGTCGACTTAGCCTCAAATGAATACCTGGTGCGATGTGTAAACGTCGCCACTGGGTAGACAAAGGCAGTCGGGCGTGGTGCTGGCCACCCACCCCCTCGTGTACCGTTCCGGCCCTCATAGGTGCTCGCTAACAGCACTTGCCCCTTCAGTCTGTTAAGTCTATACGGGGGGGTCTTTGTCTTTGCGTGGATATACAATGCTTGTTTACGTTTGCTGAGTACAGCTCTAAAGACCCAAATCGCGAATCGAATTTAAGTTTGGGAATAGATGACAATGTATACGTTTCTTAAATTGGAGGGAAGGTTGTGAGATCTTGGTGGGGGTGGGAAATTTTAGAGGGAACAGTGCGCGGGAAGAAGCAGAAGGAGAAGCGAGGTGACCGGGTGAGTGTGAGAGTGGCTGAGTGCGCTAGTGAGTGGCTGATTGGGTTATTGGATGGGTGAGCGGGTGGATGGGTGAGTGAGTGGGTGTGAGTGTTTTTGTGATCTGCAGTATGGTGGTTGAACAGTCTGTGAAATCGAGTTCTCAAGCTGGGAGGAGGAATAATTTGAGTAAAGTGTTCACGGGAACTGCAAACTATGGTAGTAGCCATAGGAGAGTGACAGTGTTTGTGCTTTATCATGAATCGACCTCTGGCTGCCTTACAGGTTGCATTAGTTAGTGTAAAAAATGCCGAGTTTCTGGGAGGCTCAACTCGGTCACACGTGTCAGCTGGAAGCAGCTCCCATGTGAGAGTTCAGCCCGATTGAACGAATAATCAGCAATTCCTTCATCCATGTTTCTCAGTCAAATATATTTCTTTTTTTTTTAATCTCTTCCTCCCTTACGTTGGTAAATAAAATTGTAATATGGCAATCCACTGCTGGAAGAGGGCCACCCGATAAAGGGGGTCGTGAGGTTAGCGGACCCCACCTCACCACGCTCATCGATCCGGTTGCTCAAGGTAGAGAGAGGGCTCAGGATCCAGGAGACTCACGAATCCACTCACGGCTGATGGAAAACCTCACTGAGTTCCAATATTTATTTTCTTCTTTGCAAGAGGGTTCTGCATTGGAACGTTGGACCAAATAGTCGCGTGATCAAAACGTCTCATCAGATGGCGCATGGACGGATGAGGGCCGACTGTGTGGCGGCCAAAAGGTGGATGAAACGCCAGAGAGGACGTCCACCGTAGAGATGGAGCGATTAAATCAACTCGTAGGCAGCAGCTAGGAGAGATCGTTGCCTCGCGTGCCAGCGTGGGGACGACTCGGGAGGGATTCATCCAGCGGTAGACAGATCATGGCTGACGTTGATGATGATGACGATGATGATTCCATTCACAGTTTTGCTTAACAACAACAACAATCACTCCCGAAGTCCGCGTGGACAAATGAGATGAGTCAACAACAACAACTAAATAATGCCTCTTCTCTTTGTTACGTCGAGGCACAGAGAGTGGAATTGAGTCCGCCTGCTCATTTATTTACATTCCTTGGGGTGGCAGGATGGGGAGGCCTTCACGGAGCAGTGGATAGATCATGGCTGTCGATGATGACGACGACGATGATGACGACGTGAACACAACGCGGTGACAGCCGCAGCCGCTGCAGGTCGACTTCGCGCCGCGCCACGCCCTCCACCACCCAGCATTGCGATCACTACCCAGGGGCTCGGCCAATCAGACGACGTGCAGACCCCCACCCCCACCACCCCCCATCCCTTTAATTACACGCGGGTGACCCGGCCTCTCACCTGTGCTCAGACGTCAGGTGAGCTGAGGCGTCAGGTGTGCGCGTGCGGTCGACTCGTCAGCACCGGGGGTTGTAGATAGCCGGCAAGGGCTAGCGGGCTGTGTATAAGAAGTTAGAGGTTGTCTGTAGAGTACAAGACTAGCGTGTGTGTGTGTGTGTAATAAGACTCTCGTACAGGTGTGTGTGTGTTCAAGACTAGAGGAGGGTGTGCACAGAGCAAGGTGTGTACAGAACTAGAGTGTGTGTGTGTAGGGCTAGCAGTCTATTGGTGTGTGTGTGTGAGTACGCTTCTTCCAAGTCTGTAAACGGTTGTTACCGCAGTACCTACACACACGCGCGCGATCTTATCTACAGCAGACGCGTGTAGACTGGACTCCAGGTGTGGTGTGTTGAGGAACCCAGGTGTGCACCTGGAAAGCGACGACTGAAGCAGCTGCAGAAATGGCCCTGAGTGACGCGGACGTGCAGAAGCAGGTAAGCGCAGCACGTCGCGACAAACACACACACACACACAAGAACAGCGGCTCAGGCGCGGCCGGGTGGTATAGAGTTCATAGTTCTATTGCCGTTACCTGCAGCGTCATCATTCTCATCATCGGCAGCCGTATCCCGCTAAGCGACGATGTCATGACTAACCTAGACACGAGATGACTTCATGTCGTCACCTCTCTCCCTGGTGGACGTAAAGTCATCCCGGGTGCGTTCCGTCATTTGGCTGATAGCTAGTCCGTCCTTATTATCGACCGTCGGACATCATCATGTATGTGTGGGCACGTATGCACGTTGAACTTCTTTCGCACCGCACGTAGCCAACCGCGCTAGTCGGAGGTGCGTGAAGAAGGACAACGAACTAAACACAGAAAATCAGCTCTAAGGAAATGCGGTTTCACTCGAGGTGGTTTAAAGTGCCATAGCCCCGCGGCGGATTCCTAAAATCGGAAGGAAGAACATTCCAGACGGCCGCAGAAGCGCGTCTGAAAGCGCCGAGCGATGCCGGTGACCGCCGCCTTTGTTCGATGGCTCAGCAGCCAAAAGCCGCCGGCCGCTGCGAGGGTGACCGGAGTTGTCGTGATGGTTTATGCTCCTTGACGAGATCAGCGAGGTGATTGTGGATCACTTGTGGCGAGCACTTTGTGCGTAATGAGCCGTGACGTGACCTGCCCAAACCCACGAACTTTGCTTAACAGTTTGGATGATGTCCCCAGCCTGCGCGATGTCTGCTAATCCACGGGTCGATGTGACGAAGCTCCTGGGAGCTGTGCACTTTTAACATCTATATTGATAACGAATTTCTCTTAGAACTGCTTTTCTTTGCTTGTGTTTAGTTTGCTGTCCTTCCCCCACACCTCCGATTGACACGGTCGCTTACGTACGGCGCGAACGAAGTTAAACATCCATTGACCTCCCCGCGCTTCATCCTTAGCCTGCGCTCCCCACTCTCACCGGCCCCGCAGTGACCGAGCGAATGGCCCAAATCAGCCCAAGCGTGGCGAGGAGGCCCCCGTCCAGCAGTGGAGTGGCAAAAAAACGGGGGTCCGTCGCATGTGCAACGCGTGGTGACTTCTCTATCGCGTAGCCGAGGGGGGGGGGGGCTGTTGTCGTTTTCGCGGACTGGCCCCAGCCGGTGCCATCAGACGGCAGCCTGCAAAGTCAGAGAGGAGGAGAGGAGACGCGCTGACTCCACGCGGTGTTGACACAACACGGCGGGCGTTGTGCCAGCACCCAGCCAAGCAACGTTACCGCAGCGACGGTCATCATCGGGCGAATTACGTTGAAGGTTTCAGGCCTTTGAAGATTGCTCGCCACGCCGAGACTGCTGGAGGAAGGGCCCCCTGCACCTGATGGCGCTGTTAGAGGGTCAATGTCGAGGATATTGTGGGCCTGTGCTGCTTTCACGCTGGCCAAGACGTCTTGGAAGAGGGGTTGGAGTTGCCCACGCCTTTACCCCACCAGCGCACGTGACCTAGCGATAAGCAAACTGCGGTGCCCTGCCCATTAATACTGCTGGGTGGATAAGAGGCGTTTTGAGTGATTTCAAAGAAACTGCCCCATTGCTTCGGACGCCGCGTGCCGGGAGATCGAACCGGCGACCTGCGTGCAATTGAATAATTCGTGAAACGTCGCGTGTTTAGGAGTCATCAGCCACGAGGTGTCAAGGACGTTGGTAAGGCACGTTAAGGATTCAGTGACAATGCCAATGACTCAACGCCAAAGTTGATGCCACCAAACCGAGAGTCTTCTGGGCCAGTGTCGGGTTAGTGCGAGACGGCTGCCAATGGTGAGAATGATGACGATGCAGGTAACGGGAGTCGAACTATGAACTCTGCACCACCCGGCCCCACGTGATGCGCTGTTCTTTCTTTGTGTGCTCCACTGCAAGGCCCCGTGGGTGCCACTGGCGGCCCCCGGTGGCCTTTAGTGCGGCCCCTGACGCGCCCCCCCCCCCAACAAATACACACCACGTGACAACACTCACTCCCAGCGTGCTGCCAAACTCCTCCAACGGTGTCAAATGTGTGGTGGGCCCTCACACCGACGATGTCTTATCGGCGAAAGTGGGCCAGGCCCACCCCCCCCCCCTCTCTGAAGATGAGTGAAGAACAACTGCCCTGGGCTCGCGAGGGCAATGCTGGGGCTGTCGAGGTGATGCTCACGAGCTCAGCGACCTCCTTGTTCAGGCCAACGCGCAAGTGGACGCGTTGTTGGAGGACAGCGGACCGCTCTCTCCAGGCCATTTTTTAAAATTGAAATTCAACAAGAGCCCGGTGCAGAGCATAACCCGTAGCAAAGGGAGGGAGGGGGGAGCCACAGAATCTCCACCTGACAAGAATCCTCGCTAGCTCAGTGCTCCTGGGTTTACGGGAGGGGGGGGGGGGTAAACGGTGGGGGCTTACTGCCCTCCCACACAGGTGGGAGGACTGTGAGCGGAAGCATGGATTTTTTTTGTATATGGGGAAGGAAAGATGAGGGGAGGGAGGAGGGCAAAAGTAAGGGGGATAGAAGGGACGGGGATTGTATGAGGGGTGGGGGGGGGGGACTCTCCAGGCCATTTAACAAATGTTCACTGCCAGAGTTGTTTTTGTTTGAGAGGATGTTACATGGCAGGCCCCCAGGTGTTTTGCGTGGAGTGGCGAGGATTCAATGATCGGAGGTCATGGGACGGTGCTCTGGAGTGATTAAGGCGCAATGATAGGAGGTCATGTGGCAGTGCTGTCGAGTGGTGAAGGCCCAGTGAAAGGTCATGTGGCAGTGCTCTGGAGTGGTGAAGGCCCACTGGTAGTAGGTCACGGGGCAGCTGTTTCGAGTAGAGGTGATTTCTTTCTTTCTGAGGAGGAGGATGCGAGACAGATCCAGGTGTTTCGAGCAGAAAGATCGAAGGCTCGACGTGAGGTCATGGGACTGAAGTGACGATGGCCCTCAATGACAGGAGGTGAACGGTAGAACGTCGTCTCGACGGAGACGTCACGGGAACCGGGATTGGGCTGATCCATTCGGCGTCCGTCAGATTGTCCCTGCAAAAGCAGTCGAGTGTTTTGGCGTTCACTGTTTACACGACAACTACCGCGGCGATAGAATCACCCGGCCTCTCTCAGGGCTCAACAGACCCACCCTTCTCCCTCCCGTGCCCACCAACCCCCCCTCTATCAACACCACCGCTTGTAACATTACACGTCGCTTTACGATGCATGCATGTACGTACGTGTACGTTGAACTTCTTTCGCACCGCACGTAGCCAACAGTGCTAATCGGAGGTGCGGGGGAAGGACAACGAACTAAACACAAAAAAATCAGACTTAAAGCTTTCGTGGCTGCAGGAATAAATATTCTTGGGGTCTTTCGGTAAAGTCACGTAAATAGGTTAGAAGAAAATGACAAAAAACTACGACGTTTCGATCGCAACACAAGCGGTCGTCATCAGGAAAAGGGGGGGCATAGCTCCGGTGGCTTCCTAAAATCTGAAGGAAGAGCGTTCCAGACGGCCGCAGGAGCCACATCTGAAAGCGCGGCGCGATGGTTATAGCCACAAGCCGCTGCCGTTGCGAGAAGGACCGCAGGTCGCGTGGTAGTTTATGTTCCTGGACACGTGTGATGACACGTGGACTTGTGCAGCTCTTTTCGTCGATGCACCGCAGACACGTGTGATGACACGTGGACTTGTGCAGCTCTTTTCGTCGATGCACCGCAGACACGTGTGATGACACGTGGACTTGTGCAGCTCTTTTCGTCGATGCACCGCAGACACGTGTGATGACACGTGGACTTGTGCAGCTCTTTTCGTCGATGCACCGCAGACACGTGTGATGACACGTGGACTTGTGCAGCTCTCTTCGTCGATGCACCGCAGACACGTGTGATGACACGTGGACTTGTGCAGCTCTCTTCGTCGATGCACCGCAGGATGATAGAGCCTCCCCACACCGAGCAGATCGTGGGAGTTGTTTGACCATACTTCACCCACGTTGATCAGTGCAGGCTGGTGAAGGGCCCCTCCCGCCAGGACCAGCTGTGACATCTCTCATCAACGATGTCAGTTTCATGGCCGGGCTATTTGATTATTACCCGACTGATAATTAGTTTTTTACCCTTCTATCTGGCAACAAAACTGACACCTTTTTTGTGTCAGTTTTGTTGCCAGATAGAAGGGTAAAAAACCAATTATCATATTTTTTACTGGCAAATGAGGTTCCAATGGTATTACCCGACTGTTTATCCGTTCCATCAACTAATCGGATCATACGAAGATAGCGGATGATTATAAAACTGTCACCTCTCTTCCCACGTGTACCCCTGCACGGGAGGCAATGGGTGGGGCTTAGTGACGCCATCAGCACCATCGGCCACAGCACGCTAGGGGTGGCTTTATAGGAGGTTTCCCGCCTTCGAGGGATCCCAAAAATATTATTATAAAAAAAGTATTCCATTACAAATGTAAGCCGATTCATTGACTAATCGCCCCAGCACCCGTTACGCGTGGCCGGGGTTTGAAGCAGGCCACCGGGTTCAGAGCGTAGTGGCGCCACCACTCCACCGCGGATGCTACGAGCGGAGTGCCATCGTCATTGTGGTGTTTTACGCTCTGCTCGCAGATAAAGCAGATGATGGCATTCATCGAACAAGAGGCGAACGAAAAGGCCGAGGAAGTCGAGGCCAAGGTAAGGGGTACAGCATTGACAGCTGTCCCAGCACAACCATTTACTCATCATCATCATCAGCCGTGATAAATCCACTGCTGGATGACGGCTTCCCCAAGCCACTGCCACCTCTCACGATCCGGCGACGCAACAATCGACCCAGCACCCGCACACGAACCAATCTCAACGCTCCATCTCCTCGGTGGAGATCCTCTCGGATGGATCTGTTCCTTGGCTGCCACTCCGATATTATTTTTGACCTTCGTCCATCATATCCCTCCTAGCGACGTGCGCTGCCTAACGCCCACTGCTATAAAACCTCTCTTAACACATTCCTGCGGAGGGAGCTGGTAGGAACGTTGGGTTGCTCGGTCAATGGTCAGGGTCAACGGCGGCGTCGTGTATTCCGCAAATATGCCCGACTGTGAGGGCGGGCACAAGCCGGCGTGAGTAGGTTAAACGTTGAGTTTTATAAGGGCATCACGGAGTGACCAGCCCCTCCCCACCAGCCCCACCCCTCCCACCCCCCCATCCAGCCCCACCCTCCCCACCCAGCCCCTCCCCACCCAACCCCTCCCCACCCATGAGGTGGCGAGATGTTAACTACCTCGCCTGGTATACAGGAGGTTGTGGGTTCGTGGGTTCAATCTTCGACCCTAACGCCTGTATATTTGGAGTTTGCGTGTCTCTCACCCCGTGATTACGTGGTTTTTTTCCTCTGGGTCCTCTGGGTTTTCCTTCCACATTTAGACACATACGTTTCGAATATTTGGCTGCTCTAAATTTTCCACGCGATAAGCCACTTCGTTGAGCTATCATTTGTGACCAAGTCGCTTCTCAAAAAAAGAGATATGTAGCTCAGTAGGCCTTACCTGGTAAAATAACAAAAAATGTCTTTAATAGTTTAGACTGCGTGGGCTGAGGTGTGCACAACGCGATCCGGTGAATAGCGAGGGAACGATGCCAAGTCAGCCCCAACCACCACCCACCCACCGCCTATGATGTAACAGCGGTCTCTGAAGCATACCATCTCTTTATTAGTTGTTTACCCAGCAACTATTGCACATTACAACTACCACCAATCACTTTTCAAATATCCACTACCAGCCACCCGCCTTTGGGACGTTTGCAAAGTTCAAAGGTCACTCCGGCATGGCCAATCAAATAAGGGACTGGTCTCTGTCATGGAAACGTGGAATTACCATCACTAGCTCAGCATTTTTCGATTTAAAGCTTTCGTGACTGCAGGGATTCATATTCTTGGTTCTTTCGGTAAAGTCACGTAGAAGGGAAATCATAAAAGAATAAAACTTTTTTTTTAATAAAGCAATACAATTTTTATTGTGACATTTTTATTATTTTATCATTTCCCTTCTATGTAGCTCAGCATTGCCAATTATGACAATGTACCCAACGCGTATTTCAGCATGGAGATGGACTCTTGCCACACCGCCTAAAGACAAACCAAACTAAACTTGTTTTCATTCTACCAGATAAAGCCCACTCAGTTGTACAGCTCTTTTTCAGAAGCGACCTTGCCACAAATTGTTGCTCAACGAAAGTGGCTTATCGCGTGCAAATTTATAGCAGCCAAACGCTCGAAACGCGTGATGTGGATGCTAAATGCGGAGCGGAAAAAAACCGACAGGTCTTGTGCTCGCAAACTAATCAAGACCCATTTGAACTGCCGCGCTGGGAAATCGAATTGGCCACGTCCGTGTTGCACGACCACCACCCCACTGTGAGCATCCTCCAAGGAATGAGTGCAAATGAATGCATGTAATATTACTCGTGCAAATGAATTAATGTAATATTACTCGTGCAAATGAATGAGTGTGATATTACTCGTGCAAATGAATACATTTAATATTACGCGTGCAAATGAATGAATGTAATATTACTCGTGCAAATGCAGGCAGAAGAGGAATTTAATATCGAGAAGGGAAGACTCCTTCAGACGCAGCGCCTCAAGATCATAGACCACTTTGAGAAGAAGGAAAAGCAGATCGATATGCAGAAGAAGATGTAAGTGGCTTTACCCGTGTCTGTCCGATGTCTCTCTCTCCGTTCGTCAGTGTGCAAGCTTCTGCTTGTGCCGAGGTTGAATGAACATTGACAAACGGAGTCCGATTGAAGCCAGAGCAACGTGTCTGGAAAGTTGTAGGACAATGGCATTTGTTGGTGAGCCCTTAGAACGTCGAGAAATATCAATGCTCACCAGGATGCACGACGTTAGCCAACTTACAAACACTACAGCAAATATATTTATGACCCCCTTACAGCAGCAACACTGTTGAGTTAATCAGTTGATTAACTGTGGTTTGTTGTTCGTAGTTAATAGTATTTCCCCTCGGGAGTCATTCTTGAATGCAGAGGTAATAGGAATGAGACAAACTCGTAGCATTCGGGCAAATCCACAATTGTGCCATTATTTTAAATCCAGACACAAATCCGGTCAGTTCTTAATCTACCCTTCATACACTATACAGTATATAAAATACTTACAGCATTTGAACAAAGACGGTAACTGCATCGTGCGCTTTCAGGTGCGCTTCTGAGGCCGTCTGGAACGCTCTTCCGATATTAGGCAGCCACTGCAGCTATGCAATTTAAAATCTAGATTTAAAACTAATTTCTTTAGAAATTGCTTTTGGTGTTTAGTTTGTTGTCCTTCCCGCGCACCACCGATTAGCACGGTTGGCTTCGTTCGCTGCAAAAAAAGTTAAACATACGTCCATAATACAAATGTGAAGATGCTATTCTTGGAGTAGACGATTGAGCGAAGTGCCATGGGCGAGTGTGGACTACAACTGCAACGGAACGACCGGCAGGCTTAACAGATTATGATTGTTAACACCCATCCATACCTCAGCGGTGTGCGACGGCGATGTGTTTTTTTATGGAAATGCGGCAACATTCGATTCACAAACGCCACCACCGCGGCATTGGTGCCCAACGAGGCTGAAAGGACATTGGCACATGCGGTGGGGGCTCTGAATGTGTCTTCGTGCTTTGCAACTTGGCTCTTCCGTGTGCTTTTTGCGTGTGCACGTGTGTGTGCACGATAACGTGTGTCGCATTTGTTGTTTCCGTGTGTGTGTGTGTGCGCGCGCACGGGGAAACATTACCCCCGTGCGCGCGTTTCCACACCAGCCCAAGCTGTCCCTGGTGCCATTCTTGATGGCCGACGCCTGGAGCAGGCGATTTACCGAGCCGAGCTCACGGACCCTCGCTGCAGATCATGGGCAACTGAAAGAAGGAACTTTGTGTGAAACGACGGCGCCTCACGCTGCCAGTTCTCTCGTCCCATTTCAGCCGGGGCTCTTTGATGCCACGTTGTTAAATAATTACAGTAGCCATTGCGGTTGCAATAACCGTTGTGGGATGTGTATAACCCATGACGTACCGCATGAAGTATTAACATGATGATGATAATAATAATCGATGTGGTTATAGTGATGACCGTTGTGGCTTGTGCATGCGTGCCACGTGTACCACTCACAGTCAGGTGTCAAACCTGATGAACCATGCCAGGCTGAAGGTGCTCAAGGCTCGTGAAGACCTCATCCAGGTGAACTCATCTGGTGACCTGAAGCCACCCACCGTACCCACACCTAAACCTGTCAGCGGTGGCATCATCACACACACAAGACACCGATGTAGCAGGACCCTCCTGACAACGAGTCTTGAGACTGAGTGAGGCTTTCCTGGCTCAATAATTGTTAGGAGAAAACGGGTAAAGGTGCAGCCCTGCAATTGCTTGCTCACGCCACTGAGGGGCCTCTACTAGACGGAGCTCTAGGGAGCCCTTGTAAGGCGGCATTTGGCCTACTCCTCCACGCTGGCCAGACATCTTGAAAGAGACGAGAGTACCCACACTTTACCCCACTACACACGCGACCTACCGATCGAGTGTGGTGCGCCCATTTATACTGCTGGGTGGACAGGTGCAAGGGGATTTAAGAAACCTGCTCTTTTTATATTGAACTGCTGCGCAGGAAGATCAAATCGAACCGTCGCCCTCTGGATAGCAAGCGCAGTGTGCTAACGAAACTAAAGCTAAACTATTTTATTTACCAGATAAAGCTCACGGGAGCTATATCGCTCTTTTTTTCAAAAGCGACCCGGCTATCACAAATGACAGCTCAACGAAGTGGCTTATCACGTGGACATTTAGAGCAGCCAATGTGGAGGCAAAAACCGGAAGACCCGGAGAAAAATCCACGCGAACACCACGATACCGCAGCAGCAGTAGCAGCAATACTTGCTACCATTATATTATTAGTCTGCCTTTCGTTGCCACTATCCTGTCACATCTCAGTAAAACATGTAACGTTGGGCCAATGTGCGCCCGATCCCCTATGTGACGCGCCGTGTGTTCCTCGCGCAGGACCTGCTCGCGGATGCGAGGAAGCGACTCGCGATGGAAGCCCGGGAGCCGGCCCGGTACCGGTCGCTCATCGAGGGCCTTCTCATGCAGGTGCTCGCCCAGGCTGGGAGTTCCGTGAAAAACGAAAAGATGATGTTTTGCGCCTCTGGATGTGGCGTCTGGCGCGCGTTTCTCAGAAGCGGTTCAGTGAAACAAACGTCTCTCGTGCAGCCGTGCTCAAGACAGCACGGGGTCGCATTTGCTCTCTAAAAGATTTCCGAATGGATTCTTCTCTGATCGACTAAGACGTCAAAAGCACAACACGTGATGCAATTGGGAAAACGTCGTTTTTAAATAAATAAATAAGTTCTGAAATAAGTATGCAAAATAATGGTTACTCTTTGGTTCTTTCGGTAAAGTCACGTAGGTAGAAAAATAAAACAAAAAATAATATATCACGACGTTTCGATCGCAACACAAGCGGTCGTCCTTAGGCGGAAAAAAATATCCAGCACTGCTAGACTATTTTTTCCGTGATATATTTTTTTAGATGATATATTTTTTTTTATACCCACGTGACTTTACCGAAAGAACCAAAGAGTATGGATGCCTGCAGTCACGAAAGCTTCAAATCAAGATTAAAATGATGGTTCTCTGGCTCGAGCTCAGGGCAGGCGTGGTCGAACCGCGTTTTCACGAAACGCGCGCGGCTCCAGGCCGGTCCACGTGTGGCCTCGAGAGAGACGCGACTAATTAATTAGTGACTTTTCACGACAACTTAATTTGAAACTGGAACAAACAAACAAAAAAAATCCGTGGAAGCGCGAGCGACCTGGGGCGGCACTCGCTTGTGTCAGGCCCGACACGAGTACTCCCCGGGGTGCTCCCGCAGATTTCTAAATTCACAAACTCCACAGCCAAATTAGAATCAATCACAATAAGCAAAGCCCATTGAGCTAAGCTCTTTTTGTTCAAGGGCGAGCACAAGGGCTTGCGTGACCACCCCGTGTGACCTGCTCAGCACCTCCTGGCTCTCGGCCGTATACCAAAGGTTGTGGCGTGCGGCTCGCAGGGTCAGGACGCTTTTGGTCTCGACCACACCTTTGCCCCTCGTGTTGTTGACCACACGTGCTTATTACATGACTCCTCACCGCTTCTCATCCTCGGTCACCCCAGGGATTGTTCCAGCTGCTGGAGCCACAGGTGGTGATTCGGTGCCGGCAGCAGGACGTGACCCTGGTGAAGGTGGGCGTCTTGCGCAGACACACGCGTGTGTGTGTGTGTTGGCTTATCCTCGCCTGCCCACCGGCACCACAATAACACAAAGATCCCCCGTGTAGCCCTTTTAACAGGCTGTTGGGGCAAGTGCCGTTAGCGAGCACCGATGAAGGCTGGCACGGCGCACGAGCGGGTGGTGTGATGTCTAAACTTATCCTCGGGACCTCCTCGAGATTGACCCAGCCTTAAACGGGTATCTCGGTGCGGGGCGTCAAAAATCAGCACTTGGGAGACAAAAGGCGGTAAAAGGGAACGTCGTTCTGGCCACCCACCCGTCCCTCTCCCCCTCGCGTGCCGCGGCAGGATTCATAGCTGCTCGCAAACAGCACTTGCATCCACAACCGACGGTCGTGTGTCTATTTTTGGTTCTTCCTCTCTGTGCGCGCGGGGCGCGTGCGCGTGCAGGAAGCCATGGAGAAGGGGAAGGTGGAGTACAAGGCGTGCGTCAAGCGGGACATTCACATCCGCATCGATGAGAACGACTGCCTGCCCCCTGACGTGTAACGCTGCCCACACTCAACCTGCCACACTCGCACACCCTGCCCCCATCTTAGCACGAGAAGGAACACCCGAGACTGCTATTTTTTTACTATTTTTTATTTTACCAGATAAGGCCCACGGATTTTAGACACAATCGGTGTGCTTTTGCTAAGTTGTCCCCACCTGAAGGACGCTTATGTTGCGCTCGAAACGTCGTGATTTAATTTATTTTAATTTGTTACCTACGTGACTTTACCGAAAAAACCAAAGAGTATGAATCCTTGCAGTCACGAAAACTTCAAATCTAGAATTAAGGCGCACGGAGCTATATAACTCTTTCAGAAGCAACCTAATATCTCAACAAAGTGGCTTATCATCACGTGGAAATGTATAGCAGCGAAATACTCATGAGCGCATGTCGTTTCTAAATGTGAAGGGGAAAACCCGGAGGACCCGGAGAAAACTCCACGCCACCAGGGGGAGAGAGACACGCAAACTCCAAATATACAGCAGGCATCAAGGGTTGGGATCAAACCCATTACCTCTTGCAAACCAGACGAGGACGATAACATCTCACCACTGTAGCAGTATAAGGCCATGAACCACCAATCGAGAGATGTGCCAGGTGTGGCTCGTGGTGAGCATGCTCGGCTAAGCACCCGTGACCCGAGTTCAATGCCCCGGCCGCAATAACACCAGTGGAAAGTTGTTCAGAATCTATCCTGGCCCTCTCCTAGGTTGACTTAGCCTTATAGCAGGGCAATGCCGTAGCCATGGAGTCTACATTGGGAGGGGGACCAAATCTTCCAGGGGTCTGGGGGTCCCCCCCCCCAGAAAATATATACATTTTAAAACCAATTTCCTGCCTAAAATTTTTAAAAATTCACTAACACATGGGATGGACTTTTTATTTATTTTTTACAATAATGTCTAATAGTGTATTGTATCACGTCAGCACAGCGGGGTAAGACGAGGGGGGGCGGCGTCGTTGGGCAAAGTGCCGGCCACAACGCTGCCCTCGTGTGCCGTGACGGCCTCAATAGGTGCTCGCTAACGGAACCTGCTTCAACAGTAGGTCCGTGTGCTGTGTTCTGCGTGCGCGCAGGGCGGGTGGGCTGGAGATGTACAGCGGGGACGGGAGGATTAAGGTGGAGAACACCCTGGAGAAACGACTGGAGCTCATCGCGGAGCAGGTGCGATCGCTACGGTGCAGCCCCCCTTTGTCAGTCAGCCCACTGGCGGACGTGAGCCTCCTCGCCACGTGTGGGTCGTGGGGGTTGTTTGACCAAATTGTAGCGCTCTGGTCAGAGCGTGCTGGCGAAGGCGGGCAGCGCAAGCGTGTTGCTGCGCTGCTGCCCTCCATGTAACCCCGCAGCAGCCTAAAGTAAACCTTCTATAATCATGATTTGAAGCTGTCGTGACTGCAGGAATCCATACTCTTTGGTTCTTTCGGTCAAGTCACGTAGGTAAAAAAATAATAGATCACGACGTTTCGATCGCAACACAAGCAATCGTCATCAGGTGGGACAGCCACAGCAAGAACAAACTGCTGAAGTAGGCATCCAACGCGCCTGCTGAAGTCGGCAGCAGTTGTTTCTTGCTGTGGTTGTCCCACCTGATGACGATTGCTTGTGTTGCGATCGAAACGTCGTGATCTATTATTATTCTTCGACCTACGTGACTTTACCGAAAGAACCAAAGGGTAACCATCTATACTTATCGTCCATCCAAACACTGCCCAGGCTGCATCTTCAGAGATACAGGATCGGGTGCAATCTGGCCGAGTTGGTCATTGTTGGGAGTGCTGGCACCCCAATCTACGTCACCGCCTGAGCACGCATTCAAAGCGTTAGGATTGAGATTCGGCGAGGAATTTCTCGATACATAAACCATTAAAAGCTGAATCGATCACCTATCGGCGACGGTGTCTATGTTAATTAACCAAACTGGTTTATAATTCGCATGGCTCCAGGAGTGAAGGTCGAGTGACGGTGACACAATAACACCCGGCCACGGGCTAGTCTAGTATCAACATGGGCCACCGAGACCAACAAGCAAAGTTGAAAAGCCACGGGACACGACTGCATGCCGCGTTCTCACCATTAACCTTTCAATTCACCGTGAACCCAACGCGCTTGCGTTGTTAATTGAGATTTAAATGCCGACATCAGTACTGAAAGCCAGTTTTTTTTACTCATAATTAGCGACACCTTTAAAAAAGAATCGCCACCAAATTATGTTTTGCTGTTAAACAATTATAATTTTAGCAGGTAAGGTCCACTGAGTTATATAGCTGTTTTTCAGAAGCGACCTGGCCACGAACGATAGCTCAACGAAGTGGCTTATTATGTGGAAATGGAAAACAACCAAACACCCTGAAGAGCATGTCGATTCTAAAATGTGGAAGGAAAAACCAGAGGACCCGGAAAAAGAAACGCAAACTCCAAACAAACAGGTGTCAGGGTCGAACCCACAACCTCCTGTAGACCAGGCGAGGTAGTTAACATCTCGCGGCCGTGGTGCCGTTGCCATGCCCATTACACTCCATGCCCGATGGCCTGCGAGATGGCTCTAGAGAAAATGTATTTCCTGACCTACGCAGGAGATTCCTCCAATTGGATGTATTCTTCAGTCCCTCCGAGTAAACAGCGTGTGGAAAGAAACCGAATCGTAATTCCGTCAAATGTTTGCACGCCGAGCAGTTTCCGTTCACTCGGGAAGGAGGTGCAAGATTGCCCCCCCCCCAAGCTCTGCGGTTCCCGATATACGAAGGTGTTTTTCGCCAATTAATGGGTGCTTAATGTGGGAGGAAACCGGAGCACCCGGATAGATGGTTGAAAGTTCAAATTCTGATTTGGGGGGGGTGGGGGGTGAGTGTTGACTCAACACATTCCCCCAGGGTCGATAAAATTGACAACATTTTATGGGGTAGGCCTGCAGTGGTTGTCTGATGGGACGGATTCACGCCTGTCATAGGAAGGTGGAACTTACACCACTGGCTTAAGGCTGTAAATAGATTAGCACCACCTCGATGGTCATTTGAGTAATGGTTTTCACTTGCGAGAAGACAACTTAACGGTGCTTACATTATCACTCTTGTTCTCTCCCTTCCCATTTACTTTATCCATCTGGAACTGTGCCTGCAGCTGCTCCCAGACGTGCGAGTCATGCTCTTCAAAGTCAACCCCAATCGACGCTTCCTCGACTGAGCACAGCTCAGCACATGGCACGATAGCACCCACAAACCATACACATCAAGCACACATCAATACACGATACATGTATCATCCTCTCCACACAACACACACAACGTGCATCGCATCACACCATCACCGCACAATACACACACCATCTCTATAACATACATACATCCCACATCATGCATGCATCATCTCAACACACATACATCAAATCATAAATATCCCTTCATTATATATACACCACCTTCCACACCCATCACACGGTCATCCAGGCATCACACACACACCATGACCACCATATCGTCAACACAACACACCTATTACACAACATACATTGCCATCGACTTTAGCTTGTGAACACGTTTGTTGTTACATTATTCAATAAACATTTCAATGTCTGAACCAATGTTTAGGGTGTGCAAATCAAATCTGTTTTTCCAGAACTTTTAACTTTGTCAAATTAATTCACCACCTTCCTATGCATTGTAAATGTTGGGTATCAAAAGACCATGCATGACTGGTGGTTAAATTAACGTTACCGTCAAGCCTAAATAAACCCTATTTAAGTTGGGATTTTAATTAAAATCACAAAACTAATTTACACAATTCGTATTGAGAGCTGCAGCCTTCAGAAAAGTAACACTGTAGCAGTGCAAGCATCTGGTTTTAACCGAAACTGGGAACTGCAAAACATTTCTAAATTCTGGACCATGGCTAGTTTGAGGTCGACAACACCTGCATTCATTCCAAGACACACGAGGCCAATATTCTTTATCAAGCTTTTAGAAACGCAACTTGTACCCACCTTGCACGGTCAAGAAAAATCAGAAGACACGTACCATAGAAAGTCACTGTTAAAAACATAATTTACGGATGTTTTATTTTTAAATGAATTTTTGCAATTGATCACAAATTGATTAAATCCATCATATTTAAACATACGAGCCCATTGAGATTTAGCATCTCTATTGAAAGAGAGTTGTTACATAAGGAAAAAAACATTGCTGTAATTATTTTGCGTATGCACTTTTTAATAGTTTTATTTGGACTAAGACATTGCACAATGATTTACCCTTTCTATTGAAATACAATGGTCGATTCTTACCTATTATATTCCAATTGTGCTTACGGCATTTACGCACAGAGCGAAGGATCCGACATTTCCAGTTCCACCATCTCATGCATCTGGCCACATTTCACTGGGCAACATTCCAGAAGCCAGCATTAACATCAAGGGTGGTGCCAATATTTGCCAAGTACGGAGTTCCCCGATTTCAAAGAACAGGGGGAGCAGGTGGCATGGGTGCGACGGCCCCTTCTTTCTCAGCGATGTTTAGTCAAACAGATACTGCATTTCGGAGGAAGAAGATGCTGTAGCCAAGAGGATGGGACAATTAGGCAGGCTCACGTGACACACAGAAGGAAAAATACTTATTACTGTTTAGCAGTTTAATAAATATGTTAAGGTTAATGAAGGCATGTGGATAGAGTACGTGAACATGTTTTTAACATTAAGAAAATCGAAATCGGTACCATAACCATAGGCCGAATCTCTATCTTTCACATGGTTACAAGTAGATCGCTGTCACAAGCCTGCAACTACAACATCTTCTAACGGAGCGACACATTTTGAATTTTTTTTAAAAAGTGGATTGAATAAAAGAAATTCGACAACAGATAAAAGTGCAGGTAAAGTTTGATTGAATGGCAAAAATAAGTCAATTGGTTCCTGCACACCTGTCCCATAATCACCCATAAGTTCAGTGAGTGGCGGGGGTAAATAATTCCCCCCCCCCACCCAAGTTAGTCAGGATGTGGTCAACAGCCCCCACTGCCTCCTGCGTGCCACCGTCCGTGTGCCACCGTCCATGTCAAAGACTTTGGCCTGAGATGTACGAAGGTCCCATTTTCACACAGCCAAGACACCGTGTACTTCCTTCATCTGCACGATCAACGAGGCGTTCGCTCTGTGCCTAAAGCTGCCAAACGATGAGCCCTGGCATCTTGGCATGTTGGTCAAATTAAGTCCTGCCACCAAATTTCGATTGGTTTTTACGCGGTTCTTTTTTTTCTGGTGCAGTCATTCTGTGCTGCAGCCGAAACCATCGAGCTTACTACACAGGCGCAAGAACTCAACCTAACTTTGGGTTGGGTGAGCCTGGGATTCAAACGCAGGATACCTCAGTGGTTGGCCCCAAGTGCTCCGACATCAGCATCTCACGAGGCACAACCCTGAGCCACTTCTCGTGTTGATGTTTTACAAGTGTAGGAGGCAGAATGAGGTTTTGCAGTCAAATCTCAGAACTGAATCAATTCTGGAACAAAGTATTTTAATGTTTACACGCTCGGTGAAGGCAATGGGGGAGGGGGGGGGGGGGGGTCTGCTCTTAACTTTATCAACGTGGTCATTGATGAGCTACTAACGCCCTCTGCACAATGAGTGCCCAATGAAGGGCGGAATTAAATGCAAAACGCAATGGATTCCATGGATTGAATATCATTTGAGTCAAATCAAGGAGCATTATTATTGTCATTATTTGGCTGCTTATGCCTGTTAAGGGATACCTATGCAAACATTTAATCATTGAGGGACTTGAAAACTACGTGTCAGATTACCAGAAGTTATTAAGGAGAGACTCATGGCCTCATCTGATCCAATGGGAATTGGGGAGGCTTCCAGTGTTAACATACGAATGGATCATGGCGAGCGACGTTTAGCGATGGGTTCACATTGCGCGAACCGCCCACAAAACCTGCAGCTTTTACACAATTTGGCAAACTTGTGGAATAAAACACGATGCACATCTCACGCCAGCCAATTCGATATCGTTCAGCGTTATATATAATAATTACGTGCGCAAGGCTGCATTGTCCAGATTGTATGATATATATAAGAACGTATTCTTATTTCATATTCACAGGACAATGTGTCCTTTGTATTGTTACAAAAAGATTTCGCTTCGATCAACGCAAGATGTGCACCGTCGTTCAGCTGGAAATAAACATCAACCCACCACGATCCGAATTAAAAAGTGGCCCCAAGGTTTCAGAATTCGAGTGTTTAAAATTCAAATTATGAAGGTGGGGCTCGTGTCAATTTGAGACTGCAGTGCTGTAAATGTTTTCAATGGTTTAAAACGACACTTCGCCATGCGCTAAGGCGACAAAGCAAACACACTTTTGAGGTCATGCTTGCCGGCCGCAGTTCTAGTTTTGCACAGTTGAGATTTCCATTTCCACAGCGTATTGCACGTGCTAAACACAATAACAATGTTTCCCGTAAAGAAGATGTTAAAATACCATGTGACATCATTTGCAAGGGTAGACCACTGTGTCAATGTTAGAGCCCAGAGCTCAACAATTGAAATTACATTAAAATTACAAAAATTACGTTTACAAATGAGAAAAGAGATACTCTTATCAATGGGCTTTCGCCTTGTTTTAAGGGTAAATGGTTTTTAAATGTTTGTCCCAAGTGGTTTTTAGGCAGAGATATTAATATTTCCATGCCAGACATATAAAGCTCAAATGTTATATATATTTCATAGACATGTGCATATCTCACACTACACTTTTCATTCGTAAAAATAACCACACTTGTGAACAATTAAAAAACTTAGGCAAAGACGGTGGTACCCAACCACATACCCTTGTAAATGAAATCACAGGCTCCTAAACCTTTGCCGTGCTGTGGGTGGAAATCCCATCAAATGGCTGCAGGAATCATGACCATGCGCGTACTATCCAGCCACTCTGAACACAATGGATCTCGCACAGAGACGTAGGTGGGGGATGGATGTTCGTAGACACGTTGTAAAACACCACAACAGGGAGAACTGGCCATCCTTGAGGATTCTAATCCACCAATACGCAGTTGCTCACCCAGTGTGTACACGTTGTGACGGGCACATGAACCACAAACCCAACTTTTCCCACAGCAAGAACCCCACAGTGCTGAGAGGTCATACCCACACACTACTTCAGTGTCGCAAAATCAATGGCTTTAGCTATATTGGGCACAGATGGCGCAAGCCTGAAACTCTTAAATCTACAGCAATGCCTAGGTTCAATACGAATGCCTTGTTAAACTGGGCTCCACAAGCTGATGTATTTGCAGGTTGAGCAGAATCATAATATTTATTTATACTGTCGGAATCCAATGAGCCTATACAACTCTTTTTTGTAGACGTCCAGCAGAGCATCAGAACCGGCCACTATGTTGTCCGATGAAAACTTGAATGGTGGCACACCACCGCAATGTACGCTACTCGATGGGATTTCTTGCCATCCAGAGAAAGTAATGCCCAGCCCAAAGCCACGACTACATGGGGAGGATGTGGGGGGGGGGGGGGGGGGGCACAAGGTTGTTTGAAATTTTCAAAAAATGGGAAAAAAAACTAGTTATGAAAATTACATTTTGTAAAATTACACCCAAAAATCGCCCCAATGGTTCCGATTTTGTCGACACCTTTGAAAACGTTTGTGCATCATATGATGTATCAATGATGTGATTGGCTTAAGATTACAGCCACACCAACCAGCACGGTGAAGTATGATCAAATCAGCCCCATGACTGAGACACCGCATGGGCAGGCTTTCATCCAGGAGTGGATTGACAAAGGGCTGAAAATTACATTTTCTGGGAGCGGTGATCTGTATACCACGAGCAACTTGCAATGTTTTCATAGGTGAACAACAAAGTGGGCACCCAATACTGCTCATTGAAATCTCGATGCTACCAAACAGCTACGATGCAGCCTTGTGTAACTAGGCATTCGTATATCTTCAGAACGTTAGGCTACATGCGTCCCGTAAGCATATCCCCCTTGCCAAACACACTGTTGGGTTTTTTCGTCCGAAAACTAAGAATTTCTAATTCGGGGTATTTTATTTTCTCAATAAACCACACATGCAATCCAGATCTCATTTGTGGAGAGGTCGCAGGCTCACGAATGCCTGCTTGTGGCCAGATAATAAGATTTCTCACAATCTTAAAATTTAATTCAGTTCCAATTTAATTTTAAAAATACATCTCTTAAACGGGCTGTTTTTTACTGATGTGTTTTGTAGACCACTGTCTGGTCTGCCATGGCTGCTGTATGTTCTGTAACTCCCGGCTTTTACATCCATGTTATGTAGTAAGAAAGCGAGCTTTTGGACACTGTGAACAAATATTCTTAACGCCTTTAAACTGTAATGCACATACTTTCCTCTCGAAGCCTAGCACTGCGCTTTAACCTGGGTTCACACCTCAGCCATTAGTTGACCAATGAGGTTGCATGCAACCGAATCATGTAGACGTCTATGCAATCCAGTCGTGAGCACTTGTGCAATT